GTATTCATTGCATAAAAAATTAGGGATTTTTCAACAATTATAAACTGTATATTTACACATGCATGTGTGCTTATGTGTCCATCTTGAATGATATTCGAAAAGGGCTAAACACACAATAACTAAAACAAATCCTTGACATAACCATTGCTCCCATTTTGGCTTTGAATTTTCTATAAATTTTTCCCAAAGTGTATTTATGCATGAGTTGCATCATAAAAAAGCATCTTCTCATTGTTAGCCAGAGTTACATCTTAATAATCTCACACGGTTCTATATTTTTTTAAGAATAAGGAGTTTCATCACTATTATGATTTGTGCACACTGATGCAAAACTTCTTAAAGTTTTACCAACTCATTACCTCATCTATTAAGTGGTAAACAAGTAAAATTAGAATTGTATGGTTTAAAGTTAAATGAGCTTCCTCCCTACAGAACTCTCGGAGCCCTTTCCCAGGAGAGGTAATGAACCAGACGGCTCTTAATGACTCACTACTAAGCAACCTGGATTTGCATTTGCTGCAAGATATTTATATATACACTCACAGAAGACATTGTAAACTGGAGTATTTAAGTACCAATTAAGGTACTTGTAGATAATCTCAAAATCTGGGTGTACTTATTAAATTTCTGAATATTTTGAAAAATTCTGTTACTATAATGATAAGACAATATTACACTTTTCTACAAGTTTCACTTTTACAGGATTGATTCATACTTTGAAAAATATCCCTTTCAAATTGGAATCAAATGGCCACAATACATTATTTTCTAACTCTTTTTTATTTTGTCCCCTCAAAATAGGGCCTGTATAATTCTCATTATAATTGGATAGTAGAAAATATATGCTGTTTTAATGGTCTGGTTAAGCCTTTCAGTTTGAATATTAAAATTAAATCTATGCAATTGAACCTTACTTCTGTTAAGCAGGAGAAACATGCTAAAATTTGCTTTAGCTATTGTATTCAATATACCAAATTCTAATTTTTCTTTCTTTTTTATTTGAAGCATAATATTTTGCAGTGAGCACGGTTAGATTAGAAGTATATACCTCCCAAGGTATGGAGATAGTTAGACAAGCTTAGTTTCAATAAAGCTTTGAGCATATGTTTCAAACATAGACTCTTGCATAATGCCAGCATGGGATCTGTGAATGACACTCCTCATTTGATAAATTCTGAGATATAATATCAATTAAATCACTTTTTTTTGGTGCTAGATATTGAACCTAGGTGTCCACCTCTAGCCCTTCTTTTCTTTTTCTTCCTGTTGCTTTGTTTTGTTTTTGAGATAAGATCCTCCTTGGGCGTCCAACTTGACCTCCAACTTGTAATCCTCCTGCCTCAGCCTCCTTGTACTTGGGTTTGCAGGCATGTACCACCACACCTAGCTATTATTTACCTTTTATATTTCTCCTCACTTTGTGAGGGCTTATCTTATTTTTGGCAACTATCCTGGGACAATTTCTCTAAAACAGCTAATATTTCCTTACCATACCCTATGCACAGACATCTCTTTCGTGCTTACTCCTTACCATGACCCTATGTGGAGGTCAATACCGCTGCTGTTAGATGCAACTGAAGCTGACGAAGTCTGAGTATGTTCGCCTGAGGTCACAGAACTAAGAAGCTCTGCGCCTTTGCTTTGAAGTCAGTTATTTTGGCTCACAGTCAAATGGCATAGCTGCCGTTCTGGAGTGTCCGGGCCACGCACGTAGCTGGCACGGCTGCACACGCCGCCTCACGCGCTGGCTAGGGAAGCACCATTTGACCCTGCTGACCGATGTGGCAGCCAATCAGCTGAGTCACGAGCAGGCTCAAGCCCACAGTGGCTGAGGCTAGGCAGCGGGTTCCACCGTGAGGTGGTACAGGGATTCACCCTCACTCCATTCCATCCCTGCCATCCAGTAAAACTGCTTGTGTGAAAGGACCACCTATCTCTCTTCCACAATCAGAGCTCCTTCCAGCCCAAGTCCTGCTGTCAGAAGACTCAGGTGGCTGGAGAAACACTTTCTATGATTCATATCAAGTACAGTCAGCTACATAGCTGAAAAGGCCTGCTGTTCATAGATACGCACGCACTGGTCCATGAGAGAGGGGAGAGTGTCGGCGGAGTCGCTGGGTAGTGTTTGAATGTACACTTCCTGCGTTTTGCAAATCAAGACTCATGATCTCTT